GCTCCACGGACTTCTCTACAAACCTGAATCACAATGTAAAAAGGCTACCAGCAGCCCTTAGGAGCAGTCTTTAGGGCCATAGATAGGGCTTCTAACAAACTGCAGGTTTCCTCTCTAGAAACACACCACTGGGAATCCATGGAGCCTGCCTGTAGAAGGCCTAGCAGCTCTGTCATCCACTGACTCAGCCAGTAGGACTGTGGCAACTAGAGGATCTAGGCTTACAGCATCTTTCCTAGCCAGCAGAGGTGAAAGTGGCTTGCTAAACACCTACTGTTGGAGTCATGTGATCGTCAAAAAGCATTAAACACTGTGTAACACTCTGTTGAATTGCTGCAGAGGACACTCTAGTTCTAGAGTTTCACTTCCTTAAGGGGACAGAAGAGCAGGGTAGAAGCACTTGGGTCTGGTGTCCCTGACAGCCCAGTAGGCCTTAGAGAAGTGGTAGTTGAGCTGTGCCTTGGGATGTGAGAAATCCTGTTTCCCCCAGTCCCACCCCCAGAACAACATGGAAGGGAGGTTTTCTTCAGAGACAAGCCTCCTGGCTTAGGAACAACCTCCCACACAGCTCTTCTCAGACTTCATCACTCTAATTCAAGAAACAGAATGACAGCAGCAGAGGAGCAGGAGCAGATACATTCACGTTTTGTAACTCTAAGCCATCTTTGTCGAGGATACAAACAACAGTGATGTAACATTTGTGATTAATCAGGCATCCGGCTCCTAATTAAGGTCCTGTTTCATTTCTAAACACTACAATGGCCAAGGAAAAATCATTTGTGTAAAAAAATAACTACCTGCATTATAGTTATGCATCCATTCCTTAGGACCTTTAAAGCAACCAAATTTCCTGGAATTTTTTTGGGGGGAGGGGTTCAAGGCAGGGTTTCTCTGTGGCTTTGGAGGCTGTCCTAGAACTAGCTCTTGTAGACTAGGCTGGTCTCAACCTCACAGAGATCTGCCTGCCTCTGCCTCCTAAGTGCTGATTAAAGGGGTGCACCACCACTGCCCAGCTTTTATTTTTAAGGTAGGTTCTTGCTTATGGAGCTCAGGCTGGCCTTCAACAAGTGATCCTCTTGCTTTAGCCTCCAAGTGCCAGGATTACAGGCATGTATCATGTCTGGCCCTTGCCCATTTTGTGAGTGTGTGTCTAGGTCAGCGGACAACTTTCAGAAGTCAATTCTTGCCTTCCACCTTGTTTGAAGGCAGGGTCTCTTGTTGCTGCTGTTCCAGAGTATACTCCAGGCTAGATGTGTGCCACTATATCTTGCTTTTACAAAGGTTCCAGGGATCACACTCAGGTAATCAGGCTTGCCTGGCATGCTCATGCTCACTGAGACATCTCCTTGGTCCCCCTGGATTGCCTTAAAAAATTATTCATTCTTATTTTATGTGTATGGGTGTTTTGTCTATACGTATGTTGGTGTACTACATGTGTACAGTGTTCACAGAGGCCAAAAGAGTGTGGGATCCCCTGTTCTGAAATTACAAACATTGTGAGACACCACGAGGGTGCTAAGAATTTGAACCAGAGTTCTCTAGAAGAATACCCAGTGCTGTTTACCACTGAACCCCATGGCCTGTCTTTCTTTTTGAGACAGGGTCTCTCTACGTAGCTTCAGCTGGCCTGGATTTCACTATATAGACCAGGCTGACCTTGAACTCACAGAGATTCACCTGCTTCTGCCTCCTGAGTGCTGGGAATTTACCTGTCAGTGACAGAGTCCAGTGTGGAAAAAAAAAACAAAAAACAAAAAACAAAACAACAACAAAAAAAACAACTCACCAGCCTCAGTGTTTATTAAGTGCCTTTGGTAGACCAGGCATCACAGTAAATGTCTCACAAGTATCATCACACTGAACCAATGCAACAACCCAACCAGACAGGTGGTTACCATAGTCTACCACATATGACAAAGAGAACTGAAGGTTTCAGAAGTGATTTGTTTAGTCACACAACTTTAATTACTACAGAAGAAGCACAGTGATGTCAAAACCTATCACTGAGCCGGTCTAAAAACATCCAATTAAGTAGTTGAATTATAACTGATGGCAAATTAGGGTTATATGACAGCATAATTGACAGGCCCACAAAGAAATATCACTGATAAGCTTCAGAGAAAAACGAGGAAACACTCAGGTACCAATGACAAAACATTATTATCTACAAGTAGTTAACAATTCATTTGAGAGAGGAATGCTCAGACCTCAGCATGGTTCTTCCATGCTTATGCAGAACATACCTATCTTTCTTCCTGTCTTTCTTTCTTTTGGTTTTTCGAGACAGGTTTTTGTAGCTCTGGATTTCCTGGAAATCACTCTGTAGACCAGGCTGGCCTCAAACTCACTGAGATCTACTTGCCTCTGCTTCCTGAGTTCTGGGATTAAAGGCATGCACCACTATACCTGGCATAGCAACATTATTTTTCTTGACAGTTCACGTAGATAAGCAGAAATGAGATTTAAATCTTTATAGAGATTTGAGTCTACACTCAATAGGATATGCACAGACTGTGCCTGTACAGGAAACAGAGACACTTTGCCTTTATGACATTTACTATGTGTATGCATTCCATAACACACATATGAGTATCAGAAGACAACCTGAGGGAGTTGGTTCTCTTTCTTCCCACTGTGTTGGTTCCTGGGATTGAACTCTCATGTCATCAGGCTTGATGGTAAACACTTCATCTGCTAAGCCATCTCGTTGATCCCTACCTCTATGAGCTTTTAAATGAAGCCAAAATTTGGAGAACATAACTCGAAATAGGTAACTATGTTAAGTATACAATGAGCAATTCAAAGTTCTGGGGTTCTAGATTAAAACAACCATATAAACATAACTCTCCTTACAGACATTTGCAGGTCTACAGAACAGATTCTGCTTGGGAAATAAGGGATGTAAGCATCAGAAATAGGTAACACAAGTTTGTGAAAACAGAATGAACCTTCATTCTCTGTCACAATAATGGGGTAGCTGAAGGGGTAGATGGAAGACCACATCACCATCTCCTAATCTACAACCATGGGGAAGAAGTAAAGAATTTAAGTACTAGCCATGAAAACTGGCACTAAATGGGCATGTTGAAATAGCACTCTATTCAGACACTTCAAATATAGAGTAATCATTTTTACATGTGTGGGAAAAATGGGTGTTCAATAAATGTTAGTTATAAAAGCCCATGCTAGTAAGTGCTCATAATAAATAACAGATAGTCATATAACAAGAATGCTTCTTAGAAGCACAGCTAATAGAGTATAATGGGGATCTGGAAAGTTGGCAAGGTCTATGAGTAAAACACTCAGCATTGGACAAGAAGTCAAAGGACACTCTGCAGATGATTATATTACTAAAGCATTGCTCTTCTACAAATGAACACAAGTAAAAAAGACATAGGGGAAAACAACAATGGCATAATAATGAACAGACAACAGTAAACGTAGGTAGTTATCCCTTACATAGCTCAGAACACACAACCTAGAAAGACACTAACTTGTAAAGCTAAAGAGAAAGACATGAGTACATAAAGCAAAAGAACAAAGAGTATAGATATATAACTAATAACTAAATCTCAGCATGAAATATTTAATATTTCAATCAAGGAGACCATACAAGGGTATGTACACAAGTCTAGCATCTATGTGTCCCGGGATACATATACATTATGATGGATAAATCACTTTCTTAAAGCAAGAAAGGTTTCTTCTAAGACCCATGGCTACAATCATGGAAAACGTCTCTTAAAAAACCCTTCTCTTAAAAAACAAAACAAAATAAAAATTAAGCTTCTGGCCAGGCATTGGTGGCACACACCTTTAATTCCAGCACTCGGGAGGCAGAGGCAGGCGGATCTCTGTGAGTTCGAGGCCAGCCTGGTCTTCAAAGAGAGTTCCAGGACAGTCTCCAAACCTACAGAGAAACCCTGTCTTGAAAAACCAACAACAATAACAACAACAAAAAAATGGAAGTTGGGTCAGAAAAGGTAGCTCAGCAGTTAAGAGTTGTTGCTGCTCTTCCAGAGGACATGGGCTTGTTTCCCAGTACCCATGTGACAAAAATACCCATACACAGAAAATAAAAATAAATACATGTTTTTTTTTTTAATTTACTTATTATGTATACAGTGTTCTGTCTGCATGTATGCCTGCAGGCCAGAAGAGGGCACAAGATCTCATTATAGATGGTTGTAAGCCACCATGTGGTTACTGGGATTTGAACTCAGTACCTCTGGAAGAACAGCCAGTGCTCTTAACCTCTGAGCCATCTCTCCAGCCCTAAATACATGTTTTAAAAGAGATTTTTATATATAGTGTTTGCCTAAACATATGTAATCATGTATGAATGTATGCATATGCACCACATACAAGTAGTGCCTGTAGAAGCCAGAAGGCATCAGATTTCCCTGGAGCTAGAATTACAGACACTTGTAATCCACCAAATGGTTGACTGAGAACTGAACACAGTTCCTCTGCAAGAGAAGCAACCACTGAGATATCTCTCCTGTGGTTTCCCCTCTTTCCTAAATAACAACTTTTAAAAAATGAATTTCAAAGTTTAGGTCTGCTCATAGTAAATGATGGGAAAGCATGATGACAAAGGGGCATCCATGAAGCCTCTGCACTTTATAAAACCTAAATTGAGACTCCCCAGCTCTGGCAGGAAAGTAGTTAAGGCAGCAGCAACAACTACTGCTGGGCAGGGATGTACACTGTACAGACAAGAAATTAAGTCACACAAAAATTAAAAATGCTTGTCAAATATTCTCTTTTCTGAGATTAAGAAACAAAAATGAATCAAGACACAAACTACCACCAGCTGAAAGATATAAAAGGAAGAAAAAAAGAGCTCTATCTTTTACTATAATGAAAAGAATTAGAATAATGTGTAGATGAAAACAGAAAATAATGTGTAGAAGAAAACAAAAGCTTCCCCCTAGGTAGTTCCCTGCTACTGAAGACAAAGTGACTGTGCTCCTTTGTCATCAGGACACCAAACCTACCATGTGGTAGTGTTATGTTTGCACCGTCAATGATTGCCTGTGCCAGTTCATGATCATTGCTTTCAAAAGCGTGGGCAGCAGCCTTCAAGGCATCCCAGATCTCTTTCCGGCCTTCAAAAGCTGGTGCGGTGTCCCAAAATTCATCCCTCTTGCTGCGCAGTTGTCCATCTGTCATGGGATAATCGCTTTTCCATTTTGGTTTTTCCTTTTTCAAAGGCTGGTTACGACCTAGAGCAACTGTAAAGAGAAAAGGCTGACATCAATATTCATAAAAAATCCCTATTTTCTGTAAGAAAAGTTACAAGGCTATATTCCTGTTTTGGATTCTTTCACAACAATTACAGTTAGATGTCTGCCTATTTGCTGATTTCTGGTTGATATTCTATTAACCAATCAAAAATCTAGAGCAAATGAAGATAGCTAGATGCAAATTTTTTCTGCATTTTTTTTTTTAAATTTTATTTCTTGAGACAGGTTGCACACTTTAACCCTGGCTAGCTTCAAATTCATAGCAATCTTCCTGCTTCAGTCTTCCAAGTGCTAGGATTACAGGCATGAGCCACCATCCCATACTGCATAATTTTCAGTAAGTCAATAGCTCTTTTCCATTCAGTGTATTTCCAAAGGATGATTAAAAATAATTACAGGGAGCTAGGGAGGTGGTTTAGTCAGTAAACTACCTGTGGTTCAAGCAGAAGACAGAGATAGGCAGATTCCTGAAGCTCATTTGGCCAGCCAGTCTAGACCAAGCAGTTCATTCCATATGAGATCCCTTATCAAAAAAAAAAAAAAAAAAAAAAAAAAAAAAAAAAAAAAAAAAATTCAAGTGAAGAGTAACTGAGTAAGACACCAACAGTGACCTCTGCCTTCACACATACACATACACACAGACAAAGAATTAAACTGTGGGTTTGGAACACAGCTCAGCTGATGTGGGCACCTATGTTTGTAATCCTAGATCTGGGAGAGACAAGCAAACCCTTGGGGTTTACTGGCCAGTTATCCTAGCCTACCTGGTGAGTTCTAAACTAATTAGATACCTAGCCCAGAAAAACAAAATGGATGGCTCCAAAGGCTGATCTTTAGCCTCCACAGACACACATATACACTACCAACCCCATAAACATGCATACACACAAGTATATTGATATACACCCACACCTACAAGCAGGATTATAACTGCAAACTATAAGTGGTGGTACATGCCTGTAATCTCAACACTTAGGAGGCAGACACAGGTAAATCTCTGTTTGAGGCCAGCCTGATCTACATATCAGAGTTCCAAGATAACCAGGACTATAAAGAGAGATCATGTCTCAAAAACGAACAAAAAAACATAAACAACAAAATGTAACTGTAACAAATGTACCATTCTGGTAAGAGGTGTTTAGAATGGGTCAATGAACAGCTCTTTCCCAGAAAAATATGGGAATTTTCTGAATAAGAGTTCTATTTTGTTCATTAAAATATGTACACACACACACACACACACACACACACACACACACACACACACACACACACACACACACACACACACCAGAAAAGCCAAGATGCATAGTGTTTCATCGAACTAACAAGGGTAGAATATGAGTGGCAGATGCTGCAGCAGAGACACAAGGGAAAGTAAATAGTGTGAAATAGTTTGAATCTCAGGATCTTTAGACACATGAAGCCAAGAAGTTAGAACTGAGAAAATCCAAAAAGGCAAAAGGCTACTTTTCAGTGTTCAAGGAAGGCAAGGAAAACCACCCAACCCAGGAAGAGACTAACTAGAAGAGTGCTTCCTCCAGCTCCCTTCAGAATGCCTTTCTCTGAAACTCAAGCAAGAGCTAGTTTGGAAAGCAGTGGGGCAAAGGGATGAAATCACTTTTTTTTTTTTTTTTTTTTTTTTTTTTTTGAGGAACCAGAAATCAAACAGGTAATACTGGGTCAATGGATAAGCTCTCAACCAGAAAGAACAAAAAAGAGCAGCAATGCCATATTCTAGTGCCAACCCTGAGAAGAGGAAAAGGGCAAGAGTGCACTCCCTTTGGCATACATTTCCTTAGAGAATGCTTCACAAGTCTCAGGCACCTCTGTATCCAGATACTTCCACAGCCTACAAGATCACTGATTATTTTCTATGGGTCATACTGACCTATATTATATTGCCTTCTCACCTATGGGTCTGTCTGTAGGTTATATAGTGCCAGGCGTAAGAAAGCTTAATAGACAGAAGTAAAAGGGAAATTTAACCATGATGAAAAGACAAAGAATGTTAGGAAAGAATAGGTGGGTAATAAATGACAGTGCAGGTGGGAAGCAGAGAAGGCATGAATCAAAATTCACTGTTCCATACTTAATTGCAGGAAGAATATCAATTTAAAAGAATCTAAAATGGTTCTAGAGAATGGATGAAGTTAATGACCCGCTTACTGGCCTGGTTTATGCATTAACACAAAATAAAATGCCTCTTAACCTCTGGGAAATCTTTCCATTTCCCAGGCTACATTCCTATATGATAGGGCTAACTAATAGCGTAAAGTGCACTTGGTTTGACATCTGAATTGAAATAAATTCTTTTTACTAGGTCTGACCATTGATCTCAAGTTCAAACATCTTAAGTCTCTTTAGTCTTTCACACAAAACCTTCAGTACTAACATGTGATGATGTTTTGGTCCCCTAACTTGTCTAAGTGAAATGTAAAGCAGGCAAGTTCTAAAGCAGGCATCCACATGCAATTCCAGTTACTCAAGAAGATGAGGTAGGAGGATGGCAAATTTAAGTTTAGCCTAAGCAACACCCCATTCCCAAAAGGAAGCTCTATACAGGCATGGGATGTGGTCATCCACACCTTCAATCCTAGCACTTGGGAAGAAGAGGCAGGTGAGGTCACAGAGCAAGTTCCAGAACAGCTAGGGTGACATTGAGAAACCCTGTCTCAAACAAAACAAAACAAAAATGCTCTCAAATTCAGAAAGCCAACAGAAAAATAAAAACAGCCTTTACATATGTGAATTACTTTCCTTACCTATGTGAGGTAGCTTTATTTTTGCTGCTCATTTTTGTACTAAGTGCAAGAACAGTCACTACATTGACAAAGGGACAAAAAAAGGACACACACACACACACACACACACACACACACACACACACCAAAAATGACAGGGTAACTATCATTTTGAATATGTTTTAAACTATAACCTGTCAAAAGTTCCATAATTTCTCTGCAGAAATAAACAAAATAAAAAAAAGTATTCACCCTGAACACATGAAATAGGCTCATCTTATTTAAACATGCATAGTATGGATCCATTATTAAAATGACCAAATCTCTGGGGCTAATATTACAATTTGGAAAGTCATAGTTTTTTTTTTTTTGGGGGGGGGTTCCAGAAAGGGTTTCTCTGTGTAACAGCCCTGGCTGTCCTGGAACTTGCTCTGTAGATTAGGCTGGCCTTGAACTCACAGAGATTCCCTTGCTTCTGTCTCCTGAGTGCTGGGATTAAAGGCATGGGCTGCCACCACCGAGCAGAAAGTCATAGATGTTAATAAATTTTTATTTTTACATGTGCCGAGTATTTTGCCTGAGTGTTTTGCCTGTATGTATGTGCATCACAAGTGAGCAGTGCTTACAGAGACTAGAACAGAGTATTGGAGCCCCTAAAACTGAAGTTACAGACAGTTGTGAGCTTCCATGTGGATGCTGGGAATTGAACTCAGGTCCTCTGGCTGAAGAGCCAGTGCCCTTAACCACACAGCCATATCTCCCCCAGTATAGAATTTTCACTGCACTATTTGACCTTAAAAGTTTCATGCTAGGTTCAACAGAATACCAAAACAAGTTAAAAAAACAAAACAAAACAAAAACAAAAACAAAAAAACTCATAATAACCCAAATCAGTTACTGCCCAACATATCTTTAACTGCTGTGCTAGTTCTCCAGCCCTTTTGCTTTTTCTCACTCTGTAACAGATTTAATACTAAAAAGTTAAAGGCTTGCTTTTCAAATGGACCCAAGTAGCATATGACGTTAAACACATTTACTATCCAATGAAAAGCATTTTACCACAAATTCATTTAGACATTCTGTTTATAAGAAACAATGATCTTTGGGAAGACAGTTGGTAAAGTCCTTGATATGCAAACATGAGGACCTGAGTTCCATGGAGAAGCCACATAAAAAGCCGTGAGTGACATAATATTCTTGTAATTCTAGTGCTGGAGAGGTACAGATAGACAGGGGCTGCCCTAACTGGCAAGCTCAGGCCTGAGGAATGAAATCTGAGGGTGGCCTCCATATATTCATATCTACCTACCTACCTACCCACCCATCCACCCACGAGAGAGGAGAGAGAAGAGAGGAGTGAGAAGAGAGACTAGAGAGACACAGATCTTCAAAAGTGACTTATGATTTTAATTCTTTTTCTTCCTTTTAGTCCTTTGAAAATCCCTGACTTAATATTTGGGATTCATCAGATAAGGAAAGGAAAGGTTACAATACAAAGGCGAGATAAAAAATACCAAGATACAGACTGAGTGGTGGTGGCGCACTCCTTTAATACCAGCACACAGGAGGCAGAGGCAGGTGTATCTTTGTGAGTTTGAGGCCAGCCTGACTTACATACAAAGAGAGTTCAAGGATAGCTAGGGTTGTTACACAGAGAAACCCTATCTCCAAAAACCAAAACAAACAAACAAACAAACAAAACCAAGATATGACCCTGGTAATATCAGCTGCAACAGGCAGAAACCTAGAAAGCATCAGTTTCCTTAATACAGTACCTGGGGGTGGGGACAACTAAAGAGATCGCCATCAAAAGACAAATTACTGTCTCAAGCAATTTTCAAGTATTTAAAGCAGTGAGAACCAGGACAGTAAATTGCTCCTATCTGCTACTGACTAGAGCAACAAAAGCACAAAAACAGAAGGAAAAGCTTCTTGTCACTTCAGAGTTAAAGACAGGGAAGAACTCTTGACAGCAGATTTTGCAATCCTTCTGGAGCTGGCAGGAAAGAGCCTACAAGACCATAGGTCTCCAAGAGGGGAGGGACCTTGACAGCATGTAACAAAATTTCTTATTCAGTCCTACTATAGCCTGGCAAAGCCAGTTTCAGAAAGGGAGTTAAAGAAAGGGAGAAAAAAAAAAAAAACCCCATAAAAACAGAAAACCTCATTAACTCTGAACTGGAAAACTCAATATAAGCTTATGATCTAAAGATGCTCAAAAATACTTTATATCTCTTTAAATGC